TTTTTGCTATGGGCTGGTTTTTTTCTGTTTGTGCTGGGAAATGGAGATTTTTTGGTCCCTGCAGATTTTGGGGGAGTCTCAGAGGGATGCAAAGCCCCGGCTGTACTGGGCAGGGAGCATCACACACTTGTCACCACACAGCCACCTCTGCCAGCTCCTCTCCTCAGCATAAAAGTGACACCGACTTTGCAGATAAGCAGCTAAATCTCCCTCGGTGGTGGAGATGCTCACCCAAGGGTGCAACCTCGCCTGCGCATCGGCTGCGGGATGCAGTGCTGTCCGCCGAGAAGGGGACCAGTACCCGGTGGGGACAGGTCCCCAGGGGTGCAGCCACCATCTCGCAGCTCCTGCACAGTCACCCAGGGGCTGCCACATCCTCACGGACAAACAGCTGCATAAATGACAATCTGCCACAAACCCAGACAACTCCTGTGTGTCAAAACGTCTGATTCTCAGTGATGCTGCGGCTGTCGGGGCAGTTGCGTGGCTGTGTTGCAGAAAGCCCCTGCTCCTCGACTTGCCCCTGCTTACACTGTGGCACAGGTAAGAAACAGCGATGCCTGAGCACTCAGGCCAGGACCTGCTGCGTCACATGCTGAAACCAAGTGGAAACACCACCAACACCTGCAATGGGTTTGCTTTGAGATGGTGAAGATGAGGAGGCCCAAGGAAGGTGCAGGGAGGCAGAAGGGAAGCAGGGTGGCCACAGCAGCGGGCTGATGGCACATGGAGGCACATGAGCACTGGGGTTGTCTCAGTGTCCTGTCTGGATTTGGTACCTTTTGAGAACCTCTCAGGCAAGATGTTGGCACAGATGCCTGGAAACCTTCCTCCTGTGTGCCACAGCTCAGAAGGAGCAACACTCTTCATATTGAAACACACGAATATTGCAGATACTAGGGCAAGAGGTCCCCGAGGGAGGTCAGCCCTTGGGAGCCTGCCAGCCTGTATCTGTGTGATGGACCCTTGAGAGGGCCCTGGAGAACATCTCCACAAGCCCAGCCAGAACATCTGCAGGTCGCAGCGAGTCAACCTAGCACAGCCAAGCGCTTTCACTGACTGTCTCAAACCCACATTGCCTCCTAAAATCCAAGACAGCAGAAACATGAGAGGGGCCAGAGATGGATGAGTGCAACAATACACGCAAAGCTCGCAAGAAAAGAGGCTGGAAGTGACCGGGGTGATGGGCAAAGTAGAGCACTGAGACCACGGTGAAAACTAAAAGAGCTGCAGCTTTCTGTCGTGTCAAGGACGAGGAAAATCCAGCGTAATGGAAACACAGCTTATCTAAAACTGATCAAAGGGGAAACTTTTCTATGCAAAACCTGAATCAGCAGAACTCAGAGCTATACATCTGCATCCCTCAACCGAACACCCTTGGCCATCCCTCAGAAGGTCCCACGCTGGAGACCATCCCCAAGTGTTGCCTTGCAGAGACCAAGCGGTAACCTGGCCTCGGGCCAAAACTGCCATGCAAACAGCTGCTTCTTGGGTGTTTTAGACCTCATTTTGAAGCAAAACAGAGAGGCCACTGTGTGAAAGGAGATTCTGCCTGGATGTGGGGCTCCTGGGCTCAGTTATCAGCTGGTTTTCCAAGCTGCATTCACCCAGACACGTTCCGAGCAGGTCCCCACGACACACAAGGGAGACTTTGGGGGAAGCACAGAGACACGGCATTCAGGGACGAGACATGTAAGAAAGCCAACCCTTGCTCTGGAGTCCTGCAGGTTTTCAACTGGTGCTCCCCGCTCCACGTGTGTCTTACCATCCTGAGAATGCCTGGTAAAAAAATCACAACACCACGTTTAAAAGTGGCTTTTGGAAGGATTTTTTGTTTGTTTGCTTGCTTTTCAAAGCCTGGAGGAATTAGGAAGATGCAGGATTTCAACTGTTTCTTTCAAAACGTGATGATTTAAGCATGATTTTGCCCCGTAGCTGTGATTGAATGGGAAACCCTCGCTGGATGAGACACAGAGCAATCCGTGAGCATCAGCAGCACCATGACCGTGGGGATGAGGGCAGCTCAGAGGTCGTGGGAGCAGGAAACACTCTGAGCTCGTATGATAGGACTCAAAAGGATCACCCACCTGCCAGAAACCCCACTGCGCCAGGAGCTGCGCTGGCAGAGCCGAAGAAAAGCCCTTCCTCCATCAGCGCTGAGTTTTTATAGAGAAATGCAAAGCGTGGGAGAAAGACAGACTCATCCCCAGCTCACAGATGGTGACGTGAAGACCGAGGGCATGCATGGGATGCAACAGCCAGGAATCAACGAGCTCTCCTACACCCCAAGCCCGGAGCTGTGCCACCAAATTGTCGCTACAGGCTTGTGATCACACGATAAACCAGACTGGGGTGATGCAAAGCACCTATCAGTCTGTTCAGAGATGCAACAATTAAATAAAAATGAGCCAGAAACAATTTCTATCTGGTCTGTAACAGCAGAACCTCCCAGCGCTGCCGTTTCTCCGTGGAGCCGATTGCTGCGGTTACATGTCAGCTCATTGCAGAAAGGAAAGCTGATGTGAGTGCCCACAGCCAGGACCCGTTGATGGGGAGGGCAGCTGGTTTGCAATCATTTCCTGCTTGCAATCGTTTCCCATCTCGTATTTCCAGGTTTTTTTTGCACGGTTCCTCTCTGTGAGGAACCAAACAGAGCTGTTACACTGCCCCAGATCCCTCCCTGCCAGGGCTGGATGGACCTGCCTTTGGCCCTGAAAGGCAAGACTGGCTTTGCACAGTTTTCCTGGGTCATAATCAGAAGGTGAAGGTAAAAGGAAGGGTTTTCCAGAACAAGGGTTCCCTAAGGGGTGAAAAAAGGTTTGAACAAGGTGATGCTGAGGAAGGACAGCCAGTCCCCACACTCAGGTTTTTCATTTGACCTCTAGGGCCTCTGTATCTTCCCCAGGACAAGAACAATGTCTCTCCTGTCCCTTTTATCCCTGCTATCTCTTGCTGTCGGGACAAGCACGCTCTAAAAAATGAATAAAATCTGTGTTCCTGGTGATGAGCCAGCCCCGTGGAGGCCCTGCAGCCACCACCAGGAAAACCTGCAGGTTTAACTCGCCAATAAGGTATCACCCACAGCACCATCTTTTGCAAGAAATGAAAGAGAAGATGATATCATCTCCTTGGAGGGCTGCCTAAAAACACAGGCTGTGATTTACAGCGCGGAGTCCCGGAGCGCGGGGGAACCACTGCCCCGGTGTCACAGGAGCTGCTGCTGCTCCTCCACGCACCAGACCCTGCGAGGTGCTGGCCAAGGGCAACCCCACTAAAATCAGTCCACAAGGTGTCCAGCTCTCGTTTGATCTTAACGTAGAGGTAGCAAACACAAGATAAGGATGGACATAGAGGGGGTGGAAGAGCAAGGGGGGAAAAAAATAAAAAGGAAGGATTCTTGCTAGAAACCAGTGTTTGATTTGTTTTGCTTTGTAAGAGAAGGAATCCAGCTCCCGGAGATTCGAGAGGAGCTGGATGAACACACATGGCAGCTTTATCTAGAGCTCCAGCTCTTAAGGCAGTATTTAAAGCAGCTCTGAGTACCAACTGCTATGCCTGGCGTGGCACCTAAGAAGGAAGGGGGTAGTAGAAAAACAAACCAAACCATTTTTTCACAGCAGAGGTGGATGAACATGCAGGTGCAGACACCATGCGAGTGCAGGAGGCAAGCGAGGTGTCCAAGAAGCCACCATAAACCCCGAGCAAAGTGCCACAGAGAAGACAGAAGCAGGGCAGACTGTGCTCACCCTCCAGGTGGTTTCGGGAAAGGTACTTGAGTCCTTCGTCCAGGAGGATAACGGGCAGGGAGATTTTCATGACAACCACCCACTGTGGCCAGCTCAGGGGGGTTACCTGGAAGATGAGCTGCAAGGCGGAAAGGATTGGACATGTCAGTGGGGAAGGAGGTGGGATTGATTGATTGTTTGTTTGAAAGGTCAGGTTGTTGTGTGGCACAGGTTGAGAGAGTCATCCCAGGTATAAGGAGAGGGGATTCAGACAGCCCAAAGAGCAGGATTTCTTCAAAGTGTGTCATGATTTGGCCAAGATCAGTCAAAAATGGTGTCCTTCATCTCTCCTGCAGGTGAGCAAAGTGAGAGCTAGGACTGTATGTGCTCACAGGTGTATGGCAGGGGACAAAGGACAGTGTAACCTCCTGGGCACAGCGACCCACTTCATCACAAGCACCCTTAGGCATCCACTGAGGCTTCACCAGCCTTGGACTGCAAAAGGAGCTGATGCTCCAAAAGGAGCCGAGATGCCCATATCCCTTTGCACTGCCCACAGGGAAAGCTTCTAACTTAAGTAAGGGCTCCTTGGGACAGGGTGACTCCTGGTCCCGATGTTGGTTGGAGTCACAGCACCTGGTGCTGAGGGCACATGCTAGGGACAACCGTCCCAGGAGCTTCCAGACCCAAAGATTGCTCTGGAGATGTCCTTGAGCTGCGCGTGGAGGTGGCAGAGGGCACTCACAGGCATGGGCTTGACGTAGAGGATGAGGAAGTGCAGGGCCATGGACATGACGATGGCCCCCAGAAGCCAGATGTTGAGCCAGGGTGGCATCCGCAGCAGTGACTGGTTCTCAGAGACACTACAAAAGCGAGAGGACAACATGAGTCCCAATAATCTCCCACTTCCCGTGCCTGCCCAAGCTGGGGGTCCTCAAAGCTACAGTCCCTCTTTTCCAGACTGTTCAGCTTCAAGCTGGACACCCATCTCAACACAAGCAGCCGCGCGTGGATTAGGACCGGTCGTTAACAGGGCCAAACTGCTACCGGATGAAGATCCAGCCCTTCCTCCATCGCTATCAACAGCAGCACACGGGCTTGGAGGAGCTTAATTATGGCAAAAGCCAGCGGTCCCCTCTGAAGATGCCCCGGATGGCTCTGCTGAGTCAAAGCCAAGCCTCAGCCCACCCGATGTTCAAAGAGACCTCACACAAAATAGGTCACGCGTGAAGGGTAAAGAGCAATCCTGCGGCCACCCTACCTGTTCAGAGCGTTGCACATTTCGATTGTCACCAGCACGGACAGAGCCATCGTGGTTGGGTATCGCGACTCAAAGATCTCACAGTCGATTCCTTCGAAGATGGGGTTGTCCTCAGTGCACCTCATGAAGTTCCTCTGCCAGCACAGGAAACCACTGGTGAGCACAGAGCAGCGGTGTGGGAAAGGCAAGAGAGAGGAGGGAAAGGTCGACTGGTTGGGGGACACATGGTGAACCTCGATTATTAGGGGTGCCGTTAAATATCCCCCAGTTCGGAGCAACCGATAAAACCACCTAAAGTGACCCAGCTTCTGCTGTGGTTGGGGCCTGGGGATTATGGCCGGGCAGCAGTTGAGAGATTTTCACGTGCGGTTAATCAGGTGTTTGAGCACACGCGTGTCTCCATCAAAGATACATCTTCCATTGCACAGGGCATCGGGGTGCGGTGGCACCTCCTTGCCCACCACCTTGTTCAGACCTACAGCAATGTAAAAATCGATCCCCTTTGATGTGGGATCAGGTACAGGAACTACTTTTGGCTGTTTTGGACCAAGTCGGTCACTAGCAGAAGCAAGGCTGGAGACATGAGCTCAAGGGAGAGAATTTGCTTTTCCTCTTCGATTAATGTCTCCTCCACCAGGATTTTGGGAACACTCCAACAACCACAGGAGAAAAGCAGAGGGAAGATCCCAACACCTGAATCATAGAACAATTCAGGTTGGAAAAGACCCTTGGGATCATCGAGTCCAACCATTGACCCTACACTACAAGTTCACCCCTAAACCATCTCACCCAACGCCCCATCTAAACGACACTTGAACACATCCAGGGATGGCGACTCAATCCC